TACTGCACTTAAGTACAAATTTGAGGTACTTGTATTTTACCTGGGTATTTCCATTTTATGTAACTTTATACTTCTAATCCACTAAAATATTGTAGTTTTTACTTCACTTTTAGTGACACCTTTAGTTACTAGTTACATTTCAATACCCTTCCTGTCCAGTGAAAACTATGTATCTCCTGATTTGGTGATTTAGATTTTTTTAGGATAAAGTTTTCCTTTATGGGTTGAAAAATGTGTCCTACTTTCTAGCTGAATAAGCTGCTGTCACAAAGCTGAAAACTTTATGTTACTTAAGATAATTCCTGGTTCTTTGATTATTATTGTGTTTCACTGAATGACGTTGAAAAAAGAACAGGAATGTTTCTCTGAGCTCATGAGAAGTTGACTTTTTAGAGATACAGGACAGTGATGCTACAGTTATATGATGATTTTATAGAATATGATACATTTGCCTTATATTAAACCACCACACAGCATCCTTTAACAGCAGTAAAATAAAACTTACATATGAATGCCGCAGTAACTGACAGGGAGCATTTTACAGCATGAGCACTTTTACATTTGATAGTTTAATTAAATTTTATGATGATACCAAAATACTTAAAGCCCCTACAAGGAACTTTCATTTTGTGCTGATTCTGGCGCTCCCTGTGGCCAAAAGCGGTAGTGTTTCCACCACCTCGTTTCATAGATTACAAGAGGAATGTAACCGAATCTGACCCTGCAGGCATGAAGAATACCTGTATAGAAAGAGTCCTCTGACTGATGCTCTCGTTTGTTTATGTAGGTCATATAGAGGCATCAGTATTAAACTGAGACTGTTTCATGGCCAGCTAAAAACTCTGTGTAGAATATTTACGTTAGATTTGAAAAATGACTGACGTAAGGGTTTTTCTTCCATCACTGGAATTTAAAACATTAATGGTGAGGGCTAAACTGCTTCTCTTAAGGAATGAAAGCTGCATGAAATTCTCATGCTTTTTAAACACATTTTAATGTCAGCCACTGACCGGTGCCAGGACGTCTCCTGCGTAGCGTTTCAGCACTGGAGGCCTGCGTCGACGGTGTGGTTGAGGTCTTCTCCTTGACTCTCTATGTCTGTGCTTCTTGGCATGTTTCTTCTGTTTTTTGTGTGAACCTGGGAAACATCCAAAGGGAAATCATGAGTATATAATATCCCAGGAGGCTGTGAGCTCTGGGGGTCATATTGAACATAAAAACAGCCTGAATTTGAATGCATCAGTAGCTGTATATTTAATTAAACTCACCTTCTATGTGTGTTACTCCTTTGGCAGTAAACCTCCATTGCACCAACACACCTATCAGGCTCATAACAGGCCATATCCCGGTGATCGCCCAGTTAAACCAGCAGAGTGGACGTGGGGAAACTTGACACAACATATCATACACCTGATCTGGCAGCATGAATGTCCCCAGCAGGTAATCCACACACAACATCACAGTGGTTGCTCCAAACGCAGACGTGTAGATGATGATGAACAGTTTCTGCCACTGAAGTGTGAAGACAGCAGTGACAATGCTGGCAGCCAGTACGGCACTGAGAGGCACCCACAATGGAGTAAGGCTGTGAAACTGTCCGATAACCACCAGGATGGAGAGGCAGAGCAGGCTCCCCAGCTGTAGGCCGCTGAGGAGGAGTCCCATAGTGGACACGAGCATGGTCATCAGCCCGCAGAGCACGCCCACGCCCAGGCCGATCCCTGCCTTTGTCTCTGTCCCCAGCTGGGTGTCCAACACAGGCTCCTTGTGATACAAGAGGAGTACGGCCGCTGAGCTAAGCATGAAGCCAGAGAAGAACATGACCATCTTGAAGCAGCGGTATCCTAAAAAGTGGAATAAAAACAAAGGTTATGATTATGAGTTTCAAAACTCTTAAAGGTTATATGCATGATAATTAAAACATTATTATAGCAACAAACAACTATTTGCTATGTAAAGTTTCATATTACAGCACTTTCACTGGTTTCTTGACTTTGACTCAAATCTCACTGAGCTGCTTGGACGACCCTGCGGATGTCGATGCGTCACACATTACTGAAATACATTTTATAAGTGAGTTTGTTCCAGTATAACGTCCAACTCCAACATCTGTCATTAATATTTTTCATTTGAGTAATGTCAGAGCTCAAACTCCAATTTTTGGTCATGATAGCAACGTACAAAAGAGAAAACACAACTCTGACAAAACTGTCTGCGCCTGCACCACTGAAACTGCTGTTTTGCTTCAAATTATTAATTATTTACATTCTTAAAATTCCTAACAGGCAACAGTAACATTGTCTGTGAGAGTTAGTGGGAACACAGCGAGTTGGCAGCGAATGTGTTTGCATAATGTCACATGTTTGAGGTCCATAGGACACACTACTCCTAATCACACTCACAGTTTGTGTTTATTGGATTTTTGTCCACATATTTTCTCTGTGAAAACAGAGACAGAAATAAGGCTATGTTGAACTCTTTGGCCTTATATTGTTGTGTTTTTTTTTATTTGGTAATACTCCCTCACAGCATTGTACTCAACACACTGCAACTGCCTGGAAGTTGTTTATAAAAAAAACAACATTACTGTCACCTCACATGAGCTTTTGTCAGGTTTAACACAGTGAAGCAAGTGAGATGTCATACAGTGCAACAGGTGGCGCTTCATTAATGCTGCCTGTGTCAAATTCAGACGCAAGACTACCCATCTGCCTCCTCCAGCTTTGTGTTCATCCACCCTAAACCCCTGGCAGCTCCCAGACACCTGCCACTGTGGGTTTCAAGCCGTCAGGTGAGCTAATGAAACATTTAGAGAATGAAAACACTGACAGCAGGGGCGTGTTGAAATACTGACTTTAAGTAGCCTGTCCTCACCTCTATAATTCAGGCACATTTGCTAATTAATATCAGTTCTGGCATCATGAACATACATACCGAAAAAGCAGTAGATGAGGCCAAATGAGAGGCAAACAGAGCACACAATAGATGGGATGACTTCATGCTTGATATTAATCTCAAGCGTACATATGTCCACCTCAGCTAAGCCAGCTCCTGGCTCCTCAGTAACAAAAAGTGAAGTGACTGCCATCTTGTAGGAATATTGCTTCTACTGCTGTTGTGGTTGAGCTGGATGTGAATCCGCTTTGTTCATTGAAGAGGGGAAACTGGAACGTCCTGCATGTGGCGTCCAGGGAAAGAGGAAGCTCCTGTACGAAGAACTCGTACTGAACTGTTTCCTGTTGTGCACCTGCAAAAAGACAAAGAGTGTTTTTAAGCTGCCATTACAACATAAAGTGAGCTCTGTTTCCCTCCCCTGGCTGCTAACTTTAATCATCAAGTCTTATGAACATCCTGGGAAGTAATCCTTCAAAATATTACTTTTATTCCATTTGAAACGTCATTATGCTTTCAGGTGTCGTTATCTAAGTGGATATATGAGAGAGATATATGGCTCTTTCCCATGTGCAATTCCCCGTTCAGGAACCAGAGAAGGAAACTGGGGATCCCCTCTGAGTTTAACGTCTCTCTTTCCTGGTTCTTTTGTTTTAAGAACAGGATACAGATGAGGAAATGACCTGGTGGCTTGGTGCTATCATCATACAGGCTTATTGTTCTGGGCATATGCTTTGGTACTTGTTTACTACATAATATAACAAAATCAAACAGCTCAACAATAATACAACATAGTCATAGCGACAGTCTTCTATTTAAGTAAAAGTACAAAAATATTAATATCAAAACTATATTTAAAGTACCATAGGTAAAGTACTCATTATGTAGAATGGGCGATTTAAATATAATTTATATTATATTATTGTATTATAATAATCAGTGCATCCACTTGATATAAGCTGATAAAGTTGGAACTAATCTTAACTTATTATTATTATTTTTTTTTACTTTGTGTACTGCTGGGTAGCTTATGAATTCCCCCCAGCAAATCAATGGTCTTATCTTAACATATAAAAATGCACCATAACCATTTATTTATCATATTTTGTATTATTAATATGAATCCGCAAAGCAACTAGTAGACTAGACTTAGAGTAGATACATTTAGTGGAAAGAAGAAAGTAGAATATTTGCCTTTTAATTGGACTATAAGTATAAAATGGAAATACTTAAGTAAAATACAAGCACTTCAAAATTGTTAAGTACAAATATGTAAGTAAATGTATTTAGTTACTTTCACCACTGGTAACAGCTTTGCATCACTTTAAAACTTAAATAAACCAATGTAAATAATTATTTTTTTAACTCCAGGAGACTAAAGATGTATAAAGCGATGAACTGGTTTTTATTTACTCCTCTCCTGTTGGCTCAGACTTGGTTGTCTAACTACAGTGTGTATTACTGTGAGCACTTCATAAGCTGTTCAGGCAGATCCTAGGGTCCAGCAAGGGAATTAGAGGAGCTTTAGCAGGTGAGTGATCCTCCTGCCTGTTTATCTCCTCTTGTAAAAGGTGAGCGTAGAACACTTACACTTTGTCACATGTCCCACATAAAGAGTAAAGCTCGGTGGAGGGTGAAAAGCTACTAAAATAATTCCTTTTTTATTGTTTTTGTTCAAATTCCACTTCATGAAAAATGTTATTAATGTAACTTCATTCTACGATAAGTGACAGTTTCATCATCTACAAGATTAAAGAACTTCATATCAAAATAACAGTGATAAAGACAGAGCTAAATCTCTGAAAAATGAAAGCATGACAAGAAAAAAGTGTTATTTCCATGGCCTACCTGAAATGAGGCATGTCTTCACAGAGTATACATGAGCTTTCACAGAGAAACAAAAGTATCTTCAGTTGTAGTTTTATCAAATTCCAGTAAACGCAGCAGGCTGTCAGGAGTTTGTGACTGTGTGGTTCCCTCTTTGAGCTGTGGGTCAGACTCAGCGTCCGACCTGTGCTCATGTGAACAGCTGACGCCTGACTCTGAGAGGGAGACCATCTGCTGCCAAGTCCAAGGCCAAGCCAGCTGAGAGCTCAGCTCTCCTTTCCCATGATCCTGCTGGAGCCTAGGCTCTGTCTCTGCATCATCACTTCAGAGCTTTATTTCTCTCAATGTGCCACTTTCAATTGAGGTTAAAGCTTGCTCAGGGTAAAGGGATATTGTTGTGAACCCTGTTTTGACCCCTAAAATGTATTTTATTTTGAGACTTTTCTAAAGAATCTTGTTTAATCTTTGTTATTGGAGGAACTTTTCAAGGACATATTATGTCTAGTCTAGTAGTAGTCCATACGCGGGGTTTTTAGCTATTTAAAATAAATATACTTAAAATGATACTTACAAAACTAACTAAACTAAAATAAAAATGTACGAGAAATGTCTTTAGTTTTAGTCTTTGACAGTTTGGTCAAATCACAACAAGCTTAAGACTGGGTTACATGACTGTGAATCAACTGCCCTCACAAAGTGTTTGTATTGTAATACCTTTTCTTGCCCCCAAAGAGGCACCATATTATTGTTTTAAAAAACTAAAACTGACAGTGAAACTAATGAAAACTAGCCTAAAACTAAACATTTTTAAACAATAAAAACTAAACTGAATTGGAAGCTAAAAACTAAATACTGAAACATATTAAACTATAATAACTCTGGGTGCATTGGGTGTATTAACGTATGTTCAATAACCAGAAATAGCACACCGTCATGTTTACCAATCTGGCTGCTCGTACATAGTTGTACCAAAGGGAGTAGAGAGATAAAAATGATTATGACTCACTCTTTCTATGGGCAGAGTTAATTAATCATTTCCTTTGGGAGAAAAGTAACACAAATAAATTCAGGCAAACAGGGTGACAAACAAAGTCTCATAATCCATTTATTTTCTCATGATAATCTAACTTTTAGCTGTATTGTCTTCCCTCCACATGCAGTCCCTATGATCACATGCACTTACAGTACGTCTTAATATTTGAAGCAGCAAGACATCACACCGATATGAAGCTATAAGTCTCCCGCTGTAGTCTGGAGTGCAACAGTTGAGCCGTACAGTACATGTGTTCTCAGCAGAGCACGAAGGCTGAATTATGGCACAAACACAACAGCAAATGTCAGGGGGGAAGGAGCAGATTAATAATGACAGCAGAGATCGTCACAACTGCAGGGACACTGAGCTGCAATAAGGTTGACATCGCCAGTGAAATGGAGCTGTCAGGCTGAATTAAGTTCCTCTGGTGACAAGTGTAATAAAGACAGCTTGTAGGCTTTTTCATCAGTCAAATATGTCTTTCTATCGTCTGCTTCAGTACATCAAAGGAGAGTCTGCTTTTAAAAGAGCTGAGAGATCAGGTAAAAACTGACAAAAGTACTTTGTGAGAAAAAGGTGGAGGGATTATTTAATTAATTTTTTTATTTTTAGCCACGCTACCGGCTCTAGGGACGGCAACATTGTTCTGTCAGTCGGTCAGTCAGTCCACCACTTTGGTCCAGACTGAAATATTTCAACAGCCATTTTATTGACTGCCATGAAATTTCATATAGACATTCAGGTTCCTCACAGCATGAATTATAATTTCTTTACTTTTCCATCAGCAGGTTTATGACAAAATACCTACAAAACCAACAACATTCCCATCACACTCAACTGTACTTTGTGTTTAGTGCTAATTAGCTAGTACTAACATGCTGACACAATAATCTAAGATGGTGATGGTCAATATTATCGTCTCCCTGCCAAACATCAGCATGTTAATTGTCATTGTGAGGATTTTCTCTTCAAAAGTTACGTTGTTCTATTGTGTTATAGGATACGCTTGCATCGATGGGTAATTAAGGAAAGTAATCAATTTAAGTTACTTTAACATTGTGATACTTGGATTAGGTTACTGACCTTTTTTAACAGGTAATTAGTAAGTATAGCAGATTAAATTTAAAGTAAACCTCCAAACCCTGTTAATGTACTTCAGAAGCATTTTGTGTTGGTTGAAATTCTCTTTACATCCCAACAGTGATCGATAAATCTGTATCAGTAGCAGTCACAGGCCTGTAATAAGCCCAGCCATCATTTCATTTGGACTGAATGAACTGATTCATTGGCCGATCTGCCTGTCTACCTTCCTACTTGTCTACCTTCACACACACTGCCCCCCCTACTGCACTCACTGCACATGACCAGAGTCTCCCACAAGCCGGCCGGGCAGTTATTATTAAAGTTACCGAGCTAGTCGCTCAATAATAGCAGAGAAAGACCAGCCGAAATGTATAGTTCCACCTGTACGCACAACAGTTTGCACAGCTAAACAAAGCAAGAAAAGAAACACAGAAGTAGAAAAAGGCTACGAACAAAAAGTCTGTATAAAACAACAGATCAAACAATAGTAGTTTAATTATAGTTTCAACATGAAGACATGTAATTGTGTGGTTTTGTTTGTTTTAGTGGGGAATTTGTAATTTTCCTGAACTTTGTAGTCTAACTGTAGTATTCGGGTCTGGACTTTTCTATTGTCTTCTATTTCTATATGTTCTTCTTCTTCCTCCGCCTTAAAAAAATCAAACAAAACATTTATGAAGTGCCTTTGTCCAGAAAACAGGTACTGGTTTAGTTCAAAATCGGGCATTGACATTGGCCGTTTAGGTTACCAGGTGGCCAATCAATGTCAGTTGCAATCGTATGCCTGGCTGCCAAAACTCGTTGGCAATGTCTCAGTCTTGACTCTGTCTCTCTCAGTTGAGGGACGCTGTTCAAAATGTATCCGTCTCCCCAATGTTATCTCCTCTATAGATTTAATGGCCCAAAATTGCTTATTTCAGGCTTCTTCTCTGTCCACATTTCTCCATTTAGGCCTACCAGACATCACTAAATAATAAACATTTACAGGGTGAGAGTACAGTATAGAAAAATCCTCTCCTCCAGGGACACATAAAATATGAATTTACAACGCACTATTGACGGCCGTGTGATCTCTGTGTGCGATTGCAGAGATGGGAGTATTGATCACAACCATTTCACCTCTGTACATGAAATGTGTTTTCTACCTGAAAGAGCCACTGAAGAGAGGTTACAGTGACACTGATGTAGATGAATCCCCTCTGTGTTTACAAGTGATAAACAGTACAGATAGACCCATCATCTGTTTATTTATGATCATTATTGGTCATTAAACCCATCAAATGTACAAATTCATTATGTTAGACATTGATCAGGAAGGTTTTATAATAATGTTTAATATCCTTCAGGCAGCAACAATACAGTAATACTGCAGGGTGGTTCCTGTTTTGGCACTTCAGACATTTGCATACATGTAATGAATCAGTATGATTAGTTGTTGTTGCTGAGTTCCTCAAGGTTGTATTTGTACTGAAAAAGGGAAAAAGTTCAAATTTTATGGATAATTTAACTAATTTTAATCCAGCACTCTAATTGTTCCTTATTTTCCATGTCACATTTTCTTTAAATATATTTATTTCATATGAATCATTTCCAAAAAATGTCCAATTAATCAATGTTCACCATTTTAATAGAAAGTACAATGCAAGTGTTCAATTAATGATGTTTGCATGAATTAAAACACATGATTCCCAAACTGAAAAGCTAACACTACATAAGTAAATACACAGCTTTTTTTCTCATCAGTAGTTAAATGTATGGATAGTCAGACTTCTGCTTAACACACAGCAGGTATGCATGATCACTCTTAGAAGATTATCCCTTTTCATCCCAGCATGTTTTAATCAACAAAATCCTTATACGGGTTCATTCATACCTCACACAGTTTGCTTTTTCTGAGCACTTTATATTTTTAAAGAATGTAAATGTAACATCTCAGACAATAATATTGACAGAAAACCAAACATTCAGTGAGGCCTCGGAAAGGTTCAAAGTACACTGATAACCACAAATCAATATAAAAATGTTTGCTGTGGCTGGATAATGATGAAAGCTTTGCACATCTAGTGAAGCATACACTCACATGTGTGCTTTATCATCACAAGCCACGTTTTTATGCTACATACTCATTTATGAACTCTTCTGAATTCTTTAAAACTTTACACACCTGGATTACGCCATTATTATAAAGTAGCAACAAACATTGGTGGAAGAAGCAATCGGATCCTTTACTTTACGGATTTAAGGGCATCTAGCAGTGTAGTTGCAGATTGCAACACCCTCACTTCTCTCTACTCTTCCAAGTGCGAAGGAGGAACAACGGTGGCTGCAAAACACTTAAAAAAAATGCGAAGGTCCTAATCTAGAGCCAGGGTTTGGTTTTTCTCTTCTGGGCTAAAGTAGAAACAGACAGACTCCACAGGAATGAAGGCTCATTGTAAGGTAACAGAAACACAACAAGTCTTATATTCAGGTGATTCTACACTAATAAAAACATCAATACTATATCTGTCTGTACTAGACTGTACAAACCACCCACTTCAACTCAGTTTGACACTCTTCCCTCAGGCTGTAGATTTAGAGAATTCTGTTCCTTGTGCAATAACTCTGCTTAATCTGCACATGTAATTGAACATCTTAGAGAGTGTAGTTCTTGTATTATTGTGTTCTGAATATAGTAGGTACAGGAAACATTTTTTTGTACTTTTATTTTGTGTGTACTGTATTGTTTTTTATGACTGCAAGTGAAGTTTCACATCTGCGATAATACAATGATTCAACTATAATAGAAACTATTTTTCTGGCTCTGCTGCAGCAGTTTTGTTCCTGTTCATTTAACGGTGTTAGAAACATGTGTAGTAATTTTAAAGGTCCAGAATGTAACATTTAGGAGGATCTATAGGCAGAAATTGAATAGAATATTCATAGGAATGTTTTTTATTATGGACACATAAGAGAGTGGCTTTTCATCTAACTCTCTTCAAGTAAGCAAATAAGTATATTTCTTAAAATTCGGAACTATTACTTTAAAGAGAGCAGTATACTTATCATATCTTCTTTTACCAAAAATCATCAGAGAGGAGCAGCTTTAATGTTTCAATTAAA